CCCTCCCGGAGCGGTTGGCAGCTCTGCCTGGGCGGCAGCTCGCTCACGTAGCAGATGTGCTCGCTGTAGTTGGGCTTGAAGCTCTCCACCAGGTCTTTGGGGACTCCGGCCCATTCCTCCGGGGAGAAGAGCAGGGTGAGAGGAGCCAGCGCCCAGCCCGGCCCCGCGGGGCAGGCTGCCCGCAGCCCCCTTACCTGGAAGTTGCCCTTGTGGGTGATGAAGAGCTCGTCGAAGTTTTTGCTGGGGTTGGGGATTCGGGGCATGAGGATGACCCACACCCTGCGTGGGAGAGACGTGTTGGAGGAGAAGGGCCCCAGCACTGCTGCCCCCACCAGCCCCCCGCGCCCACCTTTCCATGCGCACCAGCAGCACGACAAGCACCAGCAAGAGCAGGCAGGAGGCAATGGGGATCAAGACCGTGTGGATCCAGAACCAGTGCAGCTGCTCCTCCACCGTGCCTGAGGAGAGCAGTGGGGTGAGCACGCCGTGTGTGACCATGGGAGGTCAGCATCATCCGTGGCAGGGCTCAGCTGGGAGGGGAGGATGGAGAAGGGGCCCATCCCCAAGCCCTGCCACGCTGTCACCACAAGTGGCAGGGGACCCTGTCCTGTACTGTCCATGCCAGAGCAGCCGTCCAAGAAACCCCTGGCAAAAGTCAGCGGGTCCTGCTGGCAGGGGGTGTTTGGCTTCCAGAAGTGCAAAGGACGTAGGGGCCAGTCCAGATGGGTCTCGTCCCTACAGCTGCTGCCTCACCTCAGGCCAGTTTTCCACTTGTTTGGCTGTCCCTTGCCTGCTGAGCTCCGCCAGGCCCCAGCCTGTCCTGTCCCACTGCAGCCCCCAGGACCTACCCTTGCTGGTGGAGTTGCTGCCCCAGACCACAGGGATGCTCCACTCGCTCCAGAGCTGGGTGCTGCCGCAGTAGCTGTTGATCTTGCTGCGCACGTAGAAGGTGTAGTACTTCTCATAGTCCACGCTGGGGAAGGAGAAGACATCTCCTTTCACACGCTGCTCCTGCAGAGAGACGTGGGCCACGGTGTGAGGGCCAGCGCTGCTGTGGAGGGTGCTGCACGGCTCGTCCCCAGGCACAAAACACGGAGGTGCCACATCCGGGGGACTCTCACCGTCCAGCTGGTGTCCTTGTTGCTCTTGTACTTGACGGCGTGCTCCAGGCACTGGGCTTTGGGGTACGGGGAGGTCCAGGTGAGCTGCAGCTGGTTGCTACTCACGTTATAGATGGTCAAGTTGACAGGCGCCTCCGGTTTCACTGCAAGACAAAGGTGACGCCTGCCTGGTGAGTGCCGTCCCCGTGCCCCTGTGGCCCTGCTGCCAGCCAGGACATGATGGGGCAGCCCTGGGGACCCACAGCCCTGCTTCTGCCCCGCAGCAGCCCCACAGAGGAGAGGGGGTGCCCCCCACCACTCCCTACCCAGGTCCTGCAGCTCCATGCGCTTGCTGGGGATCTCCAGGGTCTTGCCGCCAAGGCTGGCATTGACGAGGACGTGGAAAGGCTGGAACTGGATGATCTCGCTCTCGCCAGCCGATGCTGACGCCCTGGTCCTGCAGGTAGTGCTTGCACTCGACAACGGGGGACCTGTTCTCATACCTGTGCTGCAACGGGTTACTGGGGCTCCCCGAGACCCCGCAGCCCCCAGGCCTCCCCAGGACCCGTCTCCATGGCACAACCCATCCTGCTTGCCCCGGAGACAGAGTCTCCCCTATCCTGGGCTCGGGGACGAGGAGCAGGCTGGTGCTGGGACCCGCAATGCCAGCATTGCAGGAGCCTCCCATGCGGGCACCCACCGCTGGACACCCTGCTGTGGGGCTGAATATGGGGCAAGGGCACCTACCAGTAGTAGAGGGAGTAGTTGGCTGTGAGCGTCTCTCTGCTCCCCCACGTGCAGGTCATGTACTCCTCGTTGAAGAGGACACACTCCACCCCTGCAAGTGACAGACACCACTGGGCCTGGCGGTGCTGGGCGGCTGTGCCGGGAACCAGGGGTGCTCCGGGGAGACAGAGCACGTGCCAGGGAGCCCTGCACATCCCGTCAGCCTTCCCCTGTGTGAGCCAAACAGGCCCAGCTCTTCCCAGCAGAGCTGCTGTGCAGCCTGCCTGCCCTGCTGGGCCCCGCCACCCTGTTCACACATGCTGTGTGAGTGATGTCCGGGCTGCAGGCAGCCCCACATCTCCCTCCAAAGGGCCGCCGGCCAGGCTGCTGTCTCTCCCGCACCTATGCCATCGGCTCCTCTTGCTCCATACGTGCTGTTTCGCCCTGGTTCCTCCATCTGCTCCCCTTAGATCCCCCATGGTCACTGTTTGCAGCCCCTGGCACCGTGGGATGGGAGAGAAACCCCTCCCTGCCAACCCATTTTGCTTGTCCCTTGAGAAAATTGAGGAATTCCAGGATTTGTGCCTGATGTCTCTATCCTGGCTAAATTCATCTCGCTGGTCCCCTTTCGGGTGCTTGCAGGTGCTCGTGTGTCCCTGTGTCTGGGTGACGGGGGCTGTGGTGGGCTGTGCTTGCCACCGCAGCCTCTCCGCCACAGGGCCAGGGGCTGAGCCCCGGCACTTTGCTCTCTGCAGGAAACACCACCAAGCCCTGGGAGGCCAAGCAGCCACTGC